TCAAACCATGGATAGCCAGGTGTGAGTCCAGCACTATAACCACCATGGTACCTGCTGACTCAGAGGAATCTTTCCTTGGGTCTCTCTTGGCTTTTGACGCCCATTGATCAAAGTTTATCCTATGGCACATTAAGTCCCCTACACCTAAACTAGCATTTTCAGGAAGCTGCCAGGGAGCTCAGATCCCAGGTCCTGTGGCCCAGTGCTTCACTCAAGTCTACACTTGAGGGGAAGAGCAGTCTCCATGAGTCTGGTGTGGTGATGAAGTTGGGTGCCAAACTGTCTCAACTCCTGCCATTGATGGTGCAATGAAGATTGTTCCTGACCCCAGACTTATCCCAAGGGAGGCAAGAAATCAGAGAGACAGTGGGAGCTTTGACTTTGGACTTGGTATCTGGTCTTCCCAAAAGGAAGAACATCAACTGTGACTGATACAATCCACCCCTTGACCTTTGCAGCTATACTTACACTTGCCCATGATATTTGGGTTCTATACTATAACACCAGGTCTCAGTTATTGGAAAACAGGGATTCTACACGGGGAGTCGGTGTGAGGAAGGCAAGTTCAGGAGCAGAGATTAGCTAGGAGGCTACTGCAATGGTTTTAGCAAGAAATGATGGCAGTGGTGCTGGCAATGGAAAGGAACAAAAGAACTTGAGGGACATTTGGGAGAAAAAAATGAACACAATTTTGGTGACGATAGATGTGGGGGTTGAGAAGGAAGAAGATGTCAGGGTTGATTCTCAGGTTTCTACTGTGGGTAACTGGAAGGAAGGATGGAGTTTTCAACAGCTGAAATGGAGAAGTTAGAAATTTTCCACTGTTTGAATCAGGGGGGAACCAAAAGTTCAAGGCTACGGTTTGTTTTTTACAGAGTGAATTAATTACCTGTGTGTGTGTGTGTGTGTGTGTGTGAGAGAGAGAGAGAGAGAGAGAGAGAGAGCAACGCACCCCCTCTCCCTTCCAGATGGGGCATGGTCATGTTACAATCCTTACTTCTCTATTTCTCTATCCCATCAGGATCTGGGTCACATGTTCCTGATGTATTTTTTAGACCTCCAGAGCCAAGACTTGAACTGTGGTTGACCATGGGCACGGCACTTGCTGGTATGCTACAGTGATTGGCTAGTTTTCTAATGGCCCAGAGGAAAGTCATCGGCATAAAAAAGACCAGAATAGGAGAATGTAGCTCACACATTTTTAGATCGTAAAGAAATATAAAAATTCCAATTCATCTGTGTGTTTTGCATCTGTTTTGAAAAAATAAGTTGAGTAGCCTCTTCAGGAGTTTTCTTTTAAAATTTCATTTTATGGTATGTCTATCTGACATCTGTTAGGGGAAGCTATTATCTTTCTTTTCATGTAATTGCCTTACAGAGTAGATTTTTAAAGAATAGATATATACTCATACACATTGAAGAGCTATTTTTTAGCCTTAAGAGTAGGAGGTAGATTGGCATCCTCGAGCTTTGGGTTCGTTTAAAGAGGGTATTAACAGAGTCATACCGCAGCGTCGTTCTGTCAAGTTTTAAACTTTGTGAACAGCCAAACTGGCTTGTTGGCCATCATAAAATCATGTCTGAAGCCGGGCAGCCTGCGAATCAGCAGATCTGCTTCCTCTGACATCTCCCCGGAGCTTAGTTTTCAAAGGGCAGAGCCCAGACAGCATGTTGGGATCTTGAAATGGTGTCAAGCCATTCTGAGGACTGTTTGTTTTTCCTTTGTCCTTTTGGCAGACTCGTGCTACTGTTTCTCATTCAAATCAGGTCTTAGAAAATAGATCGCGGGGATAGTTTTGGACATCTCGACTTGAAATTTCCAGCAGCTCTTTCGGCAAGTGCTTTTTGGTTTCCATGGAAACCAGCAATGTTTTGGAGAGGCAATGACAGGTTCAGCACATGGGAGCTTCCATGGGGAGTGCACGTCAGTCTATCGGTGAAAGTCAATGGCAAAATTACCGTGTTCTGGGGCTTTCTCTGACATGGCCAACTTGACCTAAAGAAAGAGAGGCAGAATGATGAAGATAAAGTCGTTGTTCCCAGCAGCATTTTGGGCCTCTACGGTTCCTCTCTACATCACCACACCACTGTCCCCACTCACCTTCAGCACTCTCATTTCCAAGCATCAGCAGAGCAGATGCGGTGACTGACACCTGTAGGCCTTGTGTGATTCCAGTGCTGGGGAGATGGTGGCGCTGGCAAGAGTAGGCCACTTTCCCATTGGCTCACATCTCCTTGCTGTGGGATTCATTCCCAGACACGTTGGCTTTGCTTGGCTTTTTGGGTTAGGTTAGTTGCTTTAAGAAGTCAAGGTTTTTACATATCCATATTGTGCAGGAGAAAGAAGCACACGTTTTCCACAAGCCTTGAGATTCTGCTGGGCTTGAGGAGACATTCCTGGTTGATCCATAGATGTACTCAGCTACAAAAGTCCAGTTACCTGTGGACCAGGGAGGGATGAGGCACTGCCACGGGACCAGTGTTCACCTTCCTACCTGGATTTTCTTTTTCTTTTCTTTTTTTTTTTTTCTAAGTGCCAAAGGGCACATGTTCTTGCTAGAGATAGAGAGAGGGAAAAGGAGGAAGCACTCCCTTATGGGGCATGGCCACACCATCTGTCCATCCAGTCAGGATTTGGGGTATAGACACACACATGCCTGACCTATTTTTCAAATTGTTGGGGCTGGGATTCAAACCATGGTTGTTGATATGGGAACTTAACTACTAGACTATGAGGACAGCCCTCAACCTAGCTTCTTAATGAACTGGGTGGCTTATGTTCAAAAACAAAAGGGAATCCTCAATGAAGTTCTGCAAAACATCTTGGCCTTCATCAATGTAAAAGGAGAGGCTGTTATATTTATTTAGCTCTCGATTTCACAGTCATTGGAAGAAAGACCTTTGTCTCATCATATACTCTCATCTTGGAATCCACAGTAAATGCCTTGTAGCTCTGGTACCTGTGTCTCTTGCCTGGGGGCTTTCTCTGGAGAGCCCCATCTGTTGGCAGAGGGACCAGGCCAGAAGTGCTAGGGAGTTAATATCTCCTGAGAGAAGCCCTCATTCAATGACTGATAAGAGTTGGAGTATAAATACCTCTCTCTGCTCCCTCGCCACTTGGAATGGAAACACTGAGGTGTGTGTTCTGCCCTGGCTCTCAGGGGTCCCTAGTGGACAGTGTTCCAATCACCCCAAGGAGGAACTTGCTTCATATACCTTTTTTTTTTTTTTTAACATGGACTAGTTTATTGACACTCCAAAAATGAAACTGATGGTCCATTGGGGTCATTCATAAATACCTCATGTTTGCAAACTCAAATTCATACAAATAATAAGGGTGGTGGTGGCAACAGGAAATGAAAGAGAACTAGCATTTACATAGTTCCTATTACTGTTCAGGTTATATTTAGATATAGAATAAATGGAATTTTCCTGCTTTTCATATTCAGAAGAATACTGTGATCTACACTTGTCAGAGCACTTCCAGGAAACATTTTATGTACTATTTTCGAAGTCTTCTCTGAGACTGTCTTTAGTTACTCTTTGTGGCATTCATCTAAAGGCACAGTTCATGTATGATTAACTGTCTACTGTCTGTGCACAAAATACTTCTCAGTTGTATATGTTTTTAATGTCACTTCTTGAAAGGTTAGAGGTAGAGCAGTTAGTGTATCTTTGGGGAGTCAATTTACTTTCTATGAAACCATAAAATACTAGGTCTAATTACAGAAATACTGTGAGGGACCATGTGGTTTCTTTTGTAATAGTGAGCATTCAGTTAATTTTGAAAAATTGCCTTATGCTTGTAATTGGTAGATTGAGAAATAACCCACTGTTGATTAAGACCTATATTTTCCAAGAGTATCTTTTACATCAGGAATTCCTCATTTGTGATGAACAGATTTAGGGAAGGTTTATAAGCTCTGGGAACTTTTGTGTATGCCTTACTTTTGTGTCTGTCTATTTTGGGGGCAGAGAAAAGTACATAATTGTCATCAAATCCTTAAAGGTGCTCACCATTTGGTTATAAACCAGTGGCTTATGAAACACTTCGAATTCCATGTTCATTTCCCCTTGTTATTCACAATATGATTAGTCTGGTATTGGCTCAGAAAAAGGAAAATATTTGGAGTATCTGTACTTTAAAATCATGCTGACACCATCCTTTTTATCCTCAGTGGTTGAGAGGACTACTCACAAGTAGTTTTAACATCTTATTTGGTGAATGTCCGTATTGTAGTAAGGTAAGCACTTAATAGTAAGGTAACTATTAATCACATTTTATAAAACACTGTACTAAACGTTAGGAACATTTTGAGAGATCTATATAGTACATAAACTCATTTAAAACTAAAATTTTTGAAACATGTTATTCTCTATATTAACAAAAAGCAAGTTTCTATAAAATGTCCATATAACAACTTTTTTTTTCAATCAGCCAGATGGCAATAAATTACTGTCAGTTTAAGTAGTCACAGATATATTAATAAACTATTGGGTCATCAGATACATCATGACTTCTTTGATGACCCAATATATTGAATAAATTTGGACAAAATACTAAAATCACTGACCTTTGTGAACACACAGAAAGTTTGCAAAAGATGGTAAAAAGAATGATTATTTCTTTCATTTGGTAAATTACCAAAAAAAAGTGTAACTTTGTAGTAGCATTGAAGTATAAAATATATATTTAGAACAGTTCCAGCTCAGGAAGCTACAACCAACATTGGAACTGAAAAATAGAGGGCCCTCCCCTCCCGAAGACTCACTTTGGTTCATCTTCCACCAGTCTATTAGTCCTAATGATGTAATTGTCTTTCAGTTCAATATTTAGTTCATTCTTGAGCTTTTGTTCATCGGTTGCTTCAATAGCATTTTAATTTTCTTTGATGAAAAACACTTTTCTAGATTTCTTGGGTGATTAGAAACTTCAGAAAATTATTTTCCAAATGGTACCATGGTAAAACATTTACTATTAAGGAATTTTATTTTTAGTGCTCAAATTTTGTTAAAATAGCTTTTTCTTTTTTTTTTTTTTAAGCCAATTACCTTGAAAATGTCTGGAAAGAAACCCTAAAAGAAGAATGCAACATGTCTGTGAAGAGCTGGAAACTTTATCAAAAGGAAATGCCTTCAGAGGAAAATATAAAGCAAGATATACCGATATCAAAAGGAAAAGTATGGGCAAGCTGTAATAGTACAAATCTGTGCTTGTCTCTTCACGAAATGTAAACTGGGACGGCCACAGTCCTGTAGACCTTTCTAAGTCTGTGACCTCCTTTTTAATAGTGGAAGTAGATATATACCAAGGTGAAGACTGTGACTTGTTGAATAAATCTGGACTGGTAAAACCACCATGGGGTTCAGAAAGTGAATTTGGGAAACGGTTTTCTTCAGTCGGATGTTCCTGAGACTTGTGATATTTGTGTCTTCTTCTTCCGCTGCTTTCCTGAGCTGCTCCAGTCTCTGCCCATCCAATCAGCTGCTCTTCTTCCTGCACTTTTCTCCGTGCTGCCAGGGACTCGGTGCTTCTCTCACTGTGGGCTGTTTTTTTCTATTAACCTGTGTTGCATCTGATTGACGTGCTTTGTTGCAGCCTTCCGTGACTCAACTTTTACACTGTTTGGAGTTCGCACAGGTATGCTCTGTCCTTCAGTGAAAAATGCCAACGGTCCTGAAGGTATTCCACCTGGGTTCAGAATTTTCTTGAGCACTTGATAGTTTGGCTTTTCATCATATGCTAAACTACAAACACATGCCAAAAATTGGGCTAATTCACAGCAACTGCTTCCATGAGGAGCCCATTTAAGCACTGATTCAGGCAGCTCATCCAACAGATTTGTTTTAGCAGTTTGGACAGCCGCAGGGTCCTTCAGGTTCTGTTCCCAGGGAAGTTTCCCACATAACCACCGCAGCATGCAGTAGCCAAGGATTTCAACGTCACTTCGTCTGGACAGGCCTACTCCCTTGTGGGCACCCAAGCTGGTAAACTCTATTGTCCCATTATGGCCTTTTCTAGGATTTTCCTGATACTGTTTGTGGTTCCCATGGGGACAATATCTGTAAGAAAGTCCATAATCTGCAAGATAAACCCGATCTGGGTTCTCATAACCCAAAAGTAGATTTGCTGCTTTTATGTCACCATGAACTTACACAGCCCCCTGTTACCATTTTCCTCAAAATAGCTTCAGTTTCAATAACTGACATTTCTAGGGCAATAAGCCTTCATACTTTTATAAGTCTATAAAGGGCAAAAGATTTGTAAATTGTAATGAGTAAATAATCTAAAATTGGAGCATATGAAGTAAGTCAGTCAGTCTTACCATTCGGATACCTAGCTGCAGGACTGTTGACTTTTTAAAAGTACCATTCTTGTCTGAGATCTTCTGCAAACCCATTCCTAGTCTTTCCATTACCATAAATCTGTAACTTCTTCCTTTGTATTCAGTCAGAGCAGACCCATAACATAGAGGAATTCTTAAATAATCAAGTTGTTTGAGTTCTATCCACTTTTTGATATAGTCTTTTTTTTTGCAGCTCTCTGATAAAATTTAAGTTCTGAAAATAACGGGCCATTTTCTTGATATTCCACTTTTATTACATGTCTTGAATCTTTATCTGTTTTATTTATAGGGAAAGCTAAATATATCAACCCAAATCCTTCAGAGCCAGTCATCTTGCCCAGTACCCATTGTTTTCCTTCTGTATCATCTAAAATCTTGCCTTCTGGAAGTGCAATAGGAAGTTTATGTTTCTCATTTTTTCTAGGTGGCATCACTTCTGGCCGCAGAGTCCCCGCCACGGGCCATGTGCGCTGCCTCCGCCTCCTTCATATATTTTTTATTGCCCCATCTTATGTCCCTACTTCCCCATTGAGGCTTTTTAATATATTTATATTTATTTTTCTCACCAGTTTTTCTTTTAATTGAGATCAAATTCATACAATGTAAAACTAACCATTTTTTAAATTATTTTATTTAACTTGATTTGTTTATTTTAATCTGATCAGAGAGAAACAGAGTAAGAGAGAGAGAGAGAGAGAGACGCCAGGTCCAGGACTTGAAATGCGGTGGGCCATGTGGGAATCCAACACCCTTAACCACCATGCTACCTGCCAACCCCAAAACTAACCATTTGAAAGTGAACAGTTTAACAGCATTTTATACATTCACAATGTTGCAATCTCATCTCTATATAATTCCAAATTAGTTTCGTCACCTCAAAAGAAAGCTCTGTACTGAACTGACCGGTTACTTCCCCTCCCTCCTCTCCCCCAACTCCAGGCAGCCACCCATGTACTTCCACTTCTGTGCATTTGCTTATTCTGGATATTTCATATAAATGGAGTCCCATAAGATAATGACCATTCGTGCCTGGTGTCTTTCACTGAGGATAATGCTTTCAAGGTTCATCTGTATTGGATCATGTGTAAGTGCTTCATTGCTCTTTATGGCTGACAAATATTTATTATATAGATACACCACAATGTCTTTACCCGTTTCCCCACTGATGGGCATTTGGGTTGTCACCATCATCTGGTTGTCGTAAATAGCACTGATTTGAATATCCATGTACAAGTATTTGCTGGAGTATCTGTTTTTTCAATTCATTTGCGTATATGCCTAGAAGTGGGATTGCAGCATCCCCTGGTAATTCAATGAACTTTTTGAAGAATTGCCCAATTGTTTCCACAGCAGTTATACAAAGGGACCAATTTTCCACATCTTTGCCTGTCCTTAACATCTTCTGTTTCTGTTTTTGTTTTGATTATGGCTAGCCTAGTGGGTATGAAGTGGAATCTCATAGTGGTTTAGATTTGCATTTCTCTGATGGTTAGTCAAGTTAAGCATCTTTTTATGTGCTTATTCTCATTGATTTTTTTTTTTAATTTTGGAGAATTTCAAACACATGGAGGGTTAAAAGGAAAAATAAAATATGCCATTGACAATGCAATACACACTTCCAAAAATACCTAGTAGAATGAATCTCGAGTGTGCACAACATAATGCCATGTGAAATATAGAAGAAAATGGATATCTTTGATTTGATTATCAGACACTGTAGATGTACTTAATAAAAAATACTGTACCTCACAAAGATGTACTATGATTTATGTAAATCAGAAATTACAATGTTAAAAAAATGACTACAGGGGCCAGCAGGTGGCATGGTGGTTAAGGCACTGGATTCCCACATGGTCGACTGTGGTTCAAGTCCTGGATCTGGTGGCTGCTTCCTCACCTTCCCTCTCTTTCTCTCTCTGGTAAGCATGTATGCCTGATAGCAAATTAGGAAAAACAAAACAAAACAAACCCCCCAAAACTACAGAATGCCTCCTGCATACCTTTCATATAGATTCATCATTTTTGGTTTGAGTAGTTCCTGATGGTGTCATTTAACTGGTCCCTTTTCTGGAGAGTGTTTACTGTAAACTGGAAATTGTACCTAAAGGCCTAAATAGAGTCAGGTAAAATATTTCAACTTAGCATCTTCTTTTCTTTTAATTGCTATTATTTTTTCTGAGACACACACACACACACATACACACACACACACACACCCAACAGGGTCTTCTTGCTGTGATCTACTTCCGGCTCCAACTAGTCTGGTTTACAGGCACAGGTTTGTCTGCCTGGTGAGCTTAGGGAGGCCCTGGAATGCAAACCCACCACCTTCCCATGTGGGTCTGGCTTAGCAGAGCGTTGCATTTTGCCACTGTACCATTGGCCAAGAATCTTTAATAATAATAGCAGGCAAAAGTATTGAGTGCGCCCTGTTAAGGATGCAGCAGCTGTTTCCACCCACCAGAACCCACAGCCCTCTCTTCTGGTGGTGACACTTGGCTTCTGCTCTCAGAAACCACCCACCTGGCTGTAGTGAGCCTGACTCCAACCCTAACCACAGAGGCGCCCCTGACAAAGGCATTACAACCAAAGCTGCAGGGATTGGCGCCCCTGACAAAGGCATTACAACCAAAGCTGCAGGGATTGGCCAGGGAGAGTCACGTGGTCCACACTGGCCCAATAAGAGCTGGCTCTTGAGCTCTACTAGTTCATTGAATAGAAAGTCCTCAACTTTGTAGGGCCCACTGTTCTTTTATGTATATAAAGGAGAATGCTGCCAAGTAATTATAAAATAGCATCCATTTTAAGATATATCTTGAGGACCCAGCAGGTGGCATGGTGGTTAAGGTGCTGGATTCCCACATGGCTAACCACAGTTCGAGTCTTAGACCCAGCAGCTTACAAAGCACACTAGGTACGTGTGTGTGCCCAAAATCCTGAGAAAAGAATGGAGGAGAAAGGATTGCATTATGGCCATCCCCCCCAGGAGGTGATTTTTCACTTTCCCTCTTTCTCTTTCTCTCTTTTTCAGGTGAGAAAGTTTTGCACGTGCCCTATGGCAAAAACTTAATATATATATTGATTTCCGAAATGTTCTTGTGTAAAAGGGCAAAGAATGTCTTGGATTGCTGGTGGCCATCTCACCCTTTCTGGAAGAGAATGCATCTGGAGGGTTGAGTGATGTTTTCTGGGGAACATTCTTTTTATTTATTTATTTATTTTTGCTATAGGGTGCATGTGCTCGCCAGACAGAGAGAGAGACAGAGACAGAAAGCGAGAAATCACCCCCCAGGGGGGATAGCCAAGCCGCAATCCCTTCTCCTCCGTTCTCCTCTCAAGATCTTGCGCACGCACACACACGCGCCCGGTGTGAGTTTTAAGCCACCGGGTCCAGGACGTGAACCATGGTCGACTACGTGGGAGTCCAGCAACATAGCCATTACACTAACTGCTAGTCCCTGGGGAGCATTCTTTAACCTTTTGCACCTTCCTGCCCAGTGAGCTAGAGACAGCTCAGGAAGCAGACCCAAATTTGCATGGCCATATGGACCCCATTCTGCCCAGGGTCCAGCACTGGAAGCAGCTGCACGATTCCCAGAGGTGGCTCTGTGATGGGGAGAAACTGTACTGGGAGTGAAGGTGGCGAGGGCACTGGGAGGGAGGTCTCAGGAACCAGCACCTCCAGAGTCTCCAGGCACTGGGCTCCAGAAGCAGACTGTTTGAAGGGTGATCACTTAGCTGTGCAACCTTGGTGAGTTACCCAGCCTCTCTGAGCCTCAGCTTCCTTATCGATACTGGCCTATCATTTACAGGGTCGGTGGGAGGATGAAATGAGATTGTCTTTCCAGAGCGTATCCCAGTGCTGTGCACATGTGAGTGCTTAGCACTTGTGAGCGGTCGCTCTGGCCAAGGTTAGCCAGCCTCTAAACATCCCGGCCACCCTTGAAGTTGAAGATGTCTAGCTCAACTGCTGAATTTTTTCATAGCCTCGTCCTACTTTCTCCCTCCCCCCAACTCTTGTCACTCTCTTAAGCTCATAGCTAAATTGTGACAAAAGAGGGATTTGTGGCTAATGGCAGGACAGGATCAGAAGCCAGCTGCTGGGCACGTCTGCTGCGTGTATTGACAGACTCCAGAAAACAGAACTGTCAGTTAGCATAATGGCTATGTCGCTGGACTCCCACGTAGTCGACCACGGTTCGAGTCCCAGACCCGGTGGCTTAAAACTCACGCCGGGCGCATGTGTGTGCGTGCCCAAGATCCCGAGAGGAGAATGGAGGAGAAGGGATTGCGGCATGGCCATCCCCCCTGGGGGGTGATTTCTCGCTTTCTATCTCTCTGTCTCTCTCTGTCTTTCTGGAGAGCACACGTGCCCTATAGCAAAAACTTCTCAAAACAAAACAAAAAAACCCCCCCAAAAAACAGAACTGTCATCCGCTCAGCTCACCCTGGTGTTTCCAGTGGGGCTGGAGGTGGTGAACAGCCAGAAGATTGCTCATGGGACAACTCCCACGGATGACGTTTAGGGCCCTCTACCCCCTCGTGCTCTGTGTTCTTCAAAAACACAAGGTTTAGGAATGAGGTTGTTGTTCCAGGCACCGCTGTTCCTGGAAGCTATCTATACCCTTTTTATCAGAATCTCAAAGGTCAAAAGATTTTCTGGGCAGGTGTGGACACAGGAGAAATCCAGGCACGAGAATGTACATGGCAGGATTCAAGGCAGTGCTCCGCGTGAGCAGCCTGACAATTCAGTCCCCGGGAGACAGAGTTGGTGTGAGGTGACGTGGTGGGGGCGGGGCACAGGCTGAGAACCAGAGAGAAACCAAAAGTGAGAGAAAGAGACAGACAGAAAAATAAAGAGCTGACAGAGGCAGAGGGGAACAGAGGCCAGAAGAAAAGAAAGGACAGAAATACAGAGAGGCAGAGAGAGCTGGACGAGGCAGAGACGAGACAGAGAATCCGAAGGTGATCAACGGTTAACAGCCGGAAGTCGCATAATCTGCAGGGCAAAATGAAAACAGAGGATCCCTTCTCCAAAAGTGCTAAGAATAATTTGGGATCAGCTCCACAGTCTAGTGATTGAAGGAGTTGGATACCACACAACTGATCACAGGGTTCGAATCTTGGTCCTGGTGGCTTCAAAAACAAATTTAAAACGAATGTGGTCCTGGTGGCTTCAAAAACAAATTTAAAATGAATGTACATATATATTGGATTGTCAGAAAAGTCATGACGTATTTTTTCTAAGTTTTTCTATACAAAAATACATCATGGGAACCAGCAGTTAGCATAATGGCTATGTTGCT